AATTGCGGCAATCTTTTTATCTGTCAGAAAAAGTGCAATCATAAAAATAGTTGGTGATGGTAAAAATTCGAGTTTATATGAAATGAAAAATAACAAAACTATCAGAAGAAGTACAGATGAAAAAATTAATGGTCAACAAATAAGTTTATTGTTATTGATGGTTGCTTATAAGTGTTTTTTTTTAAACAAGCTACACTGATGTGTGCGTTTATAGGATCAAAAAAAGTGTTCAAGATTTAATAAATATGCTCCAATTAAGTTACAAGTTGCTGCCAGAGACTTGCTACTAAATAAGTGAAATGGGGGTGTTTATAAAAAACAGCTGATTTTGTTTTGTGTTCAAATATTACCTTTGTTTTGGCAAAAACAGCAATACAGTGGGTTACAGATTATAAAATGAAGAAGTGGACCTTAACTATGGTACTCAGATTGAAGCTTATTATTTTTAAAGTGAGTTTTGTGGTTTTCATTGCCCAGATTAAAGATATTCAATAAACATTTAGTTTTATACCTACTATAATCAAATCCATACATAGTGATTGGAATTACAAACATTTCTGTGAAATAGCATTATACCAGAATAATGAAGTCTCACTGGACTGGAGTATATATGTTTCCAAAGATCAGTAAGTACCTATAATATCAATTATTATTATTATTTTTATTAATAAGTATCAGTAATAAATACATCTCAAAGAATAACAAGGTTGTAACTGTACTTTTTGGAAAAAATGAGATTGGTAGAATATATTAATTAATTTGTTTTTGTGACCAATATGTTCATCTGTTAATTATCAATGTTGTGTTATCGAAGCACTAAAGTTATTCACATGGTTCTATCTGCATGTACATAGAACTTATACAGTTTTTAGCAAGTGTCATTATAGTAGTTAGATCTTTGTTATTCCCTAATCCCTAGCAAATGTAGTCTCCATCCTCCACAATTATATTAAGATTAAAGGCCACGTTTTTACCTCTGAATAAAGTTGAAAGTAACTACTTGCTGATTAGGCTATAGATTATACTTATGCGTAACTTTACTCAGAGGTTAAAAAATCTGCCATTAAAAGAACAGTGAGTTTTAGAGCATAAACCGTATTAAATATAATGGGTATTTTTTTATTAAACTTTTTGTTTTTAAACAGTTTTGATTGAAAATTATAAAAAAAATTATAGAGGATACCTAGAAAAATGTATAATATAAAACAACATTTAAAAATTCTGAATTAACAAAAGTATGTATTTTCTGTTCCAAGCCTTGTCTCTGTTACCTAAACTAAATACTAGAAACACAGTTTTAACTGGCAGTTACTACTATGCTTTATCAAATATTCTAAAAAATGTAGGTTGCTTAGTTCTTTCTGCATTTTTTATCACTTAAGATTTTCTCTTAAATTAGAGTTAGAAACACAATGAAAATCAAACAAGTTAATGGCTATACAAACTTCAACTCCAAAAAATAACTAGCTGTCTAGATACAATCTTGTTATCCTAATATGACAGATGTAGAAGATTTATACAAATGTGAAAAACGTTTTATGTTCTGCAATGCTAGATGAAATCTTTAATTAGGCATCAAATTTGTAAAATGTTAGAGATAGTATGTAGGTATATAGGGAAAATAAAAAATATAATTATAATGAAGAGTAAGAACTTTTAAATTTTAATATAACTAGAACAAAATATTCAGTAATTAAAAATTTTGATAGGAATTAAAAATTTGCTCGAGTATAAATGTTGTGCTTGTTTTTAAGTGGTTTCGATTTACTTTAGGTTTGTTCCAACAATGCTCAGAAATGAGTTACTGACATCAGGATTCTGCACAGTAGTTTATTGAGACTGCAAAATTGTGTACTACCCAGTGGTTTGTTTCTGATCGTTGGAACAGACCTTTTATTCAATATAGGTATAATCAAACAAGTTAAATGTGTATCTGGAATTTTTTTAATTTTACAAATCTGGAGCTTGAATATGGATTTTCAAATGATGCACTTTTTGTAGTTTTTAATAATGCTTATTTTTTTTTAGTTTCTTGTTCATTTAATAAAGATGCTTTTTTGTATATGGGGTGATAATTTTTAAGCAGAGGCGTGCAGCACCCACAAGATCACTGCCAGAATTAATTCAAATGGGTAATCTAAAAATATGGAGTAGGTTCTCTGCACAAGATTTTCAAGAACTTGTAAATACAATGTTTTAATTAATTATTGCCGTTATCAAAGTTAAAGGTGATGAAACACTCATGATAATTTGTAAATATTTAACCCTTTCAGTGTATTTGTCCCTCCAGAGGGACACTCTTAATTAACCCTAAAGTATAAATCTGTTAATTTTGGTAGAATTTTTTTCTTTTTGGTTTATTTACTTTATTTGCATTACTTTTAAGGATTAATATTATAAAAAAATTATTTTCATAGTAAATTTTTGTTTTTGTAATGTCCCTGAACAGGGACGTTATGTCTTGGAGTAATAAAAAATACTATGAAAATATTTTAATTTACTTAAAATAAACAAAGAAAACATACAATCTACTACAATGGTATTTTTTTTAATGAAAGTGGAAGTGAAAGGGTTAAAAAAATAAAAGAATTTATCAGATTTATGTATGATTTGTTCTTGTAGTGACAGTCACTATAAATATGAGAAGTGTGCTAATTGAAACGGGACAGGGCTCATATAGTTTTATTTAAAAAGTAAACCTTGTCATTAATTAAATATAAATGATTATTATATTATATTATTGAAATATATAATGTAAAACAAATTGTTGTAATGTTTTTCTGAAATCAGAAGTGTTGCCAGGTTTGTTACTGTCTGCTGCTGTGACGTGTACAAGCGAACATAATAAACCTACTTATTGAGTACATTAATATAAAAAACTCATAATAAATCTGGAAACTATACATTTGAAATTTTCCTACTTATTTTTTCATTACTGCTATTATCCAATAGAACAATTCCTATGCTTTTATTTAATATTTCATTTTCCACAAATAAATATAAAAAAATAATTAGTAAAATTATAAAATTAGTTCCAATTAAATAATGAACTATATTATTAATTGAAATTGTTAATATAAGAAATGAATAAATTAAGAAAATAAAAGTGTAATAATGGGAAATGTGTAAATTGTATTTATTTCTAATTTTAAATAATTTTGTGTGTATTGTTAATTTTCTTTCTAGTGTAAAATTAATAAATTAATAATTTTAACAAAAATTTATTGAGATGTTTTATTTGTGTTAGAATCCGAATACAATAAGAATGCTGCTGTCATAATGATTACTCTGAATTTCAAATACATAGTATCTATAACTTATCAATAAATAAATATTAAGTTGTTAGGTATAAAAAAATATTTCCTATATTCCTAAAAGATTAACACTTCACCTCCAGTGGATAACTTCGATAACTGTATCAGCAATACTTTCCACATTCTCGTCTCCTTTGAGAAGTAGTCCCATCATAAGTAATAAAAGCAGGAACAGCATTTTTAGGTAGTTTTTTTATATTTGCACTGCACATTAAATAATGGTAATCCTATAATTGAAGGGTCTGGAAATGCACCATTCTTGTTCCGGCTAGTTCTGATAGTTGGAATCGTAACATATAGTTGCAAGGTTATATTTAATTATTTGGAACCAGGGAATAAGCATATTGAAATAACTTTTACTTTTTATCATGTATTTACCAATTTTTTCATCGATTAAAAATAAAAAAATTGTAGATTTTCAATTAATAGGATCGTTGTGTCAAATTCTAGACTTCATTCAGTGCGGAATGGTGTGAATATGCGGATTTCTAGACTCCTCAACTACAAGATAACCTTAAATAATTATTAGGTACATCAGAAAAAACATTGTTTAAATTATTAACCAGTGTATGTACAAATTATTCAATACACAAATACCAACATCTACGACCCCAAACTACATTTATTTACTTAAAGGGATTAACTCCTATAAAAATACAGAATTGAAAAATCTTAAATATTTATTACAACTCAAATTTGTATTAATTTAAAATCAGTACTTCTATAAAAACCTAGTAAATACATTTAAAGAACTGGAACAAAACACATTCGGGGATGATTATTATTAAACAAATGTATATTTAAACACTTGAAAATAAAAAGGCTACAAGTAAAATAAATTTATCATAGTATCTATTTGATTCTTATAACCAGATACAACTTTCTAGCATTATAATCAGGCTAAAAGGAATAAGTCAAAGATTTTATTTATTCACAGGGTCAGAAAAATCAAAAGAAATAGGTACCTTGTGTATATGAAATTTATACCATGAACACATTATAATAGTGTCCAAGTCATAACATTATTAGTACCAAGGGGACAGGATAAATAATACGAAATATTTATATAGTAAAACTTTATACTAATAATTATTTTTATTACAGGAAAGACAAAGTTGAATAACCTATTTACATAACCTACAATCATTTAAAAGGTAGACATTAAACATATTTACTTGAAAAATAACGTTTCCTAGTAGATTTCTTAGCACTTTTTCACGGATAACATAATTTACATTAAAATGTTTTTCACAAATGGAACTTTTGGGTTTAATGTTTATTTCCATACCACCTAAATAATTGCACCATATTCTGTATAACTGTTTTTTGGCATTATAAAACTGCTATTAATATGTTGAAGACTCTCTCCCATAATCACAATTAAAAACAGCACAACGATCCACCATGATTTATATATTTTAAGATTTTAAAAAATATTTATCTGTCAACACTTTTCAAATTGCAGCTCCTACCTTTATCTTTTATTTACTTTCTCGCCGGATAGACAATAGCGAACCTAGCGGATTTTAGCTAGGAAGTACGATCGGTTTTATCACTTTTATCGCCGTTTTCATTTGTTTTTAAATAGGAGTTGATACACCTGTGGACTAAACCGAACGCTAAAAGAGTCGTTTGGAGTTAAAAGTGTTAAAGGAGTTAAAGGAACGTGGCAAACCGAACGCAATGTAGGAGTAGAATGTAACACCAGAGACAAATGTAACCTAACAAAAAACAAAACCTAAACAAATTAAAAATTGAGAATGGAGTGTAAATATCTTAATAGTTCTGCGAAACACCTAATTATAAGAAATGGTTTGGTTGGTGCAACTTGTTTAAATCAAGAGATAGGTTTATTCGATTTTGGAAATGTTATTGTTCAAAAAGATTACTTGGAATGTTCAAGTGTCAGAATAATTTCAGGAGGTGCTCATTATTCGGGCGATTTAGTAGGAAAAGGAATGCTTACAGCTGCAATACAGGGTAAAAAAGTGCTTTACATTTGCTTGTAATAAAATTAAACCAAACGTGTTTGAATCTCAGGTGACAACTTTGCGGCTCCTGCATCAAATACGATTTTACGCACTCTTCATGAACTGGATTTTAATAATACAATGGGTTCGCTCGTAATTGTTCCTTGTGATACTGGAAACACTTTAAATTTTGGTTTAGCCATAGAAAGAGCTTTGAACAGTGGCTTGAGGTTAAAAGTGATCACTGTATATGATAATTACTTGAATGAAAAGCAGACAACATCCTTAAAGGAATCATTAGGAGGGATTATTCTACTGTATAAAATAGCAGGAGCAATGTCAGAAGAAAAGAAAACTCTTTCAGAAATATATAATTTCTGTCAGAAAATACATTCTAATATGCTAAGTATTGAAATAGATTTGACCAGGCCAGAAAGATCAAACCCAAATGTGTCATGTACCTGTTTGGACGACAATATGGCTGCTAGAAAAAATGTTTCAGAAAAATGTTCAATTCATTCCATTAAAGTAAATTTAGCAAGTTTGATTAGTGTGTCCAGTGCAACTGAATTCACAGTAGAGGACTGTAAGTAATTTCATATTGTTCATCATCTTTCAAGTATTAGGCCCGGACCACTTGCGTGAACTTAGCGCCCAAGAGCCAGCGCTCTCTGGCAACATTCATCCCCACCATTACGACAAGTTCACACGATACAAAAACGTTGGCGCTAGGCGCTGGGCACGCTGACCATTTTATCAATCTATATTGCGTTTAACGGCGCTACAATTATTAAATATTTGTGGTAACAGAAACTTCAAATTTTTATTTGTATTCTCTAATATTATATCTTTGATTACAACTAAATTCTGCTCAAAACTACAGTACCTACATCAAATGGTATTTTTTGCAACATCTTTTACCAATTAAGATGTTTTTTAATCCAAAAATGTATGTCAAATATTAAAATAAACGATTATTCTATTTTATCTTTATAAAACTTATAGGTCGTAGCAAATAATTTACCTCTAATTTTTTACGAAAAGATTCAAAAGTTCACGACATGAAACTTAAGAAAAATGACAGCGGCATAGCTAAAGTTATTCCCTTCCCTTAAAATTTAAATATGATTTTTTTCACAAAATCTAAGATGCGTCACGCCATAAAACTTACAGAAAGTAATAAGAATAAAATATACTTTCTAATTCCAAGATCAAAATTTCAGAAAAATATCGGCGTCATAGCTAAAAGCATCCCCCTCCACTAAATTCAATTATTTTTTCGAGGAAAAACTAGGTCGCGTCACGCCATAAAACTTACAGAAAGTAATAAGAACAGAATATACATTCCAATTCCAAGCTCAAAATTTTAGAAAAATATCGGCGTCATAGCTAAAACCATCCCCCTCCACTAAATTTAATTATTTTTTTGAGAAAAAACTAGGTCGGGTCACACCATGAAAATCACAGAAAATAATAAAAACCAAATAGGCTTTCAAATTCCAAACTTAAAATTTCAGAAAAATATCGGCGTCATAGCTAAAATCATCCCCCTCCAATAAATTTAATTATTTTTTTGAGGAAAAACTAGGTCGCGTCACGCCATAAAACTTACAGAAAGTAATAAAAACAGAATATACTTTCAAATTCCAAGTTCAAAATTTTAGAAAAATATCGGCGTCATAGCTAAAACCATCCCCCTCCACTAAATTTAATTATTTTTTCGAGGAAAAACTAGGTCGCGTCACGCCATGAAAATCACAGAAAATATTATTAATCAAATATACTTTCAAATTCCAAGCTCAAAATTTTGGAAAAATATCGGCGTCATAGCTAAAACCATCCCCCTCCACTAAATTTAATTATTTTTTTGAGAAAAAACTAGGTCGAGTCACACCATGAAAATCACAGAAAATATTAACAATCAAATATACTTTCAAATTCCAAGCTCAAAATTTTGGAAAAATATCGGCGTCATACCTAAAACCATCCCCCTCCACTAAATTTAATTATTTTTTTGAGAAAAAACTAGGTCGGGTCACACCATGAAAATCACAGAAAATATTAACAATCAAATATACTTTCAAATTCCAAGCTCAAAATTTTAGAAAAATATCGGCGTCATACCTAAAAAAAACCATCCCCCTCCACTAAATTTAATTATTTTTTTGAGAAAAAACTAGGTCGGGTCACACCATGAAAATCACAGAAAATATTAACAATCAAATATACTTTCAAATTCCAAGCTCAAAATTTTTAGAAAAATATCGGCGTCATACCTAAAACCATCCCCCTCCACTAAATTTAATTATTTTTATGAGGAAAAACTAGGTCGGGTCACACCATGAAAATCACAGGAAATAATAAGAATCAAATTTTAGAAAATTTTGAGCTTGGAATTTGAAAGCCTATTTGATTCTTATTATTTCCTGTGATTTTCATGGTGTGACTTGACCTAGTTTTTTTAAAAAAATAATTAAATTTAGTGGAGGGGGATGGTTTTAGGTATGACGCCGATATTTTCCTAAAATTTTGAGCTTGGAATTAGAAAGTATATTCTATTCTTATTACTTTTTGTAAGTTTTATGGCGTGTCGCGACCTAGTTTTTCCTCAAAAAAATAAATAAATTTAGTGGAGGGGGATGGTTTTAGCTATGACGCCGATATTTTTCTGAAATTTTGAGCTTGAAATTTGAAAGCCTATTTGATTCTTATTATTTTTTGTGATTTTCATGGTGTGACCCGACCTAGTTTTTTCTCAAAAAAATAATTAAATTTAGTGGAGGGGGATGGTTTTAGCTATGACGCCGATATTTTTCTGAAATTTTAAGTTTGGAATTTGAAAGCCTATTTGGTTCTTATTATTTTCTGTGAATTTCATGGTGTGACCCGACCTAATTTCTCCTCAAAAAAATAATTAAATTTAGTGGAGGGGGATGGTTTTAGCTATGGCGCCGATATTTTTCTGAAATTTTGAGCTTGGAATTGGAATGTATATTCTGTTCTTATTACTTTCTGTAAGTTTTATGGCGTGACGCGACCTAGTTTTTCCTCAAAAAAAATAATTAAATTTAATGGAGGGGGATGGTTTTAGCTATGACGCCGATATTTTTCTGAAATTTTGAGCTTGGAATTTGTAAGCCTATTTGATTCTTATTATTTTTTGTGATTTTCATGGTGTGACCCGACCTAGTTTTTTCTCAAAAAAATAATTAAATTTAGTGGAGGGGGATGGTTTTAGGTATGACGCCGATATTTTTCCAAAATTTTGAGCTTGGAATTAGAAAGTATATTCTATTCTTATTACTTTCTGTAAGTTTTATGGCGTGTCGCGACCTAGTTTTTCCTCAAAAAAATAAATAAATTTAGTGGAGGGGGATGGTTTTAGCTATGACGCCGATATTTTTCCAAAATTTTGAGCTTGGAATTAGAAAGTATATTCTATTCTTATTACTTTCTGTAAGTTTTATGGCGTGACGCGACCTAGTTTTTCCTCAAAAAAAATAATTAAATTTAGTAGAGGGGGATGGTTTTAGCTATGACGCCGATATTTTTCTGAAATTTTAAGTTTGGAATTTGAAAGCCTATTTGGTTCTTATTATTTTCTGTGAGTTTCATGGTGTGACCCGACCTAATTTTTCCTCAAAAAAATAATTAAATTTAGTGGAGGGGGATGGTTTTAGCTATGACGCCGATATTTTTCTGAAATTTTGAGCTTGGAATTGGAATGTGTATTCTGTTCTTATTACTTTCTGTAAGTTTTATGGCGTGACGCGACCTAGTTTTTCCTCAAAAAAAATAATTAAATTTAGTAGAGGGGGATGGTTTTAGCTATGACGCCGATATTTTTCTGAAATTTTAAGTTTGGAATTTGAAAGCCTATTTGGTTCTTATTATTTTCTGTGAGTTTCATGGTGTGACCCGACCTAGTTTTTCCTCAAAAAAATAATTAAATTTAGTGGAGGTGGATGGTTTTAGGTATGACGCCTATATTTTTCTAAAATTTTGAGCTTGGAATTGGAATGTGTATTCTGTTCTTATTACTTTCTGTAAGTTTTATGGCGTGACGCGACCTAGTTTTTCCTCGAAAAAATAATTGAATTTAGTGGAGGGGGATGCTTTTAGCTATGACGCCGATATTTTTCTGAAATTTTGATCTTGGAATTAGAAAGTATATTTTATTCTTATTACTTTCTGTAAGTTTTATGGCGTGACGCATCTTAGATTTTGTGAAAAAAATCATATTTAAATTTTAAGGGAAGGGAATAACTTTAGCTATGCCGCTGTCATTTTTCTTAAGTTTCATGTCGTGAACTTTTGAATCTTTTCGTAAAAAATTAGAGGTAAATTAGTTGCTACGACCTATAAGTTTTATAAAGATAAAATAGAATAATCGTTTATTTTAATATTTGACATACATTTTTGGATTAAAAAACATCTTAATTGGTAAAAGATGTTGCAAAAAATACCATTTGATGTAGGTACTGTAGTTTTGAGCAGAATTTAGTTGTAATCAAAGATATAATATTAGAGAATACAAATAAAAATTTGAAGTTTCTGTTACCACAAATATTTAATAAGTGTAGCGCCGTTAAACGCAATATAGATTGATAAAATGGTCAGCGTGCCCAGCGCCTAACGCCAACGTTTTTGTATCGTGTGAACTTGTCGTAATGGTGGGGATGAATGTTGCCAGAGAGCGCTAAGTTCACGTAAGTGCCCGGACCCGTTCATATTCTACATTCCACCTTTTTTTCACGTCATTCCTACTACAGGTCTGGGTCAGTATTTATTTATATATTTAACATTACATAACCCCATATTCTGTCATGAATATTCTTTCTATACCTAGCAGGGGCAGAATGGAAAGTCTTTTGGTAATAAGTAATTTGAAATTGTTACCCGCGGAACTGGACAATTGCATGTATTTATGTACTAGAAATAATTATTAAACAAGTATTATAATATCCAAATCATAATCCTACAAAATTTCAACAGCTATTCATAATTTATTAAACTATTTACCCGAAATTGTTATTAACATCTATAAAATAATTTTGTGTGCTAATGTATCGCATCCACTTCGGTTAGCTCTGCTGCAGAACTGTCAGTTTATTTGTATTAAGTGGGAGAACTGTGAAAGGCCATTATTCCATGCAATAAGCAGGTAAAAGATCAAATTTTATAAATTGTTTATTAGTAGAGGAAAAACTGAATGCTGGTACAGGTCAATTTTGTTTTTTAACCAAATCCTCTCAGCAGAATAAAGAAGAGATGCTTCATTACATTTAGGCATGTGAGAAAAAGAGAGTACTTAGCTCTCGTCTTGCCTATCTGCCTGCCATAATTGGATGCATGGTTACACCTCTACCTGTAGTGGGATAGCAAGTATGATCTATTTCTGTTTCTTCAATAGCTGTGTCAATAGCGTTGGTTTTCTATACCATTTTCTGGAGAGATTTGAAAAGTTAACATATTGTATATTATTATGTTGTCATAGCTTTTCTACTGTTTGTGAGTATTTTGAAAACTTTCATCAATAATGATAGAAAAATAAAAAAAAACTCTCAGACCTCATCCAGTAAATAA